AGACACTAGGCAATAGACGCTTCATCCTAGCGACAAAGAATGCTTGATGACAAAAGCTGCCTGTATACTGGAAGCAAAGGATTCTATGCGGAGTCCTTCATTGCTAGGCAGTATCTTAGGAACAAAGGGTTCCAGGTGTCATTACCCACCTGCCTTTAACAACAAAGGATACTTGGCAACAGGAGCCACCTGCGTCCTAGCAATGAAAGACACTAGGTAGTAGGGGACCACCAGCATTCTAGAAACAGAGGACTTGGGGGCTTAATATTTACACTTTCCATATAACCTCTGGAAGGATACCACTCTGGAATGAAATCACTTCTTCCTTTTTTTTTTTTGTATTTGAAAACAGCTCAATGCTCTGACTATAGACACTTCTGCTGTTGCTCTTGGTTGTATGGTTTTAACATACACCGAACATTGAATATTTTGACGCTAGAGAGGGCTGCAGTCATAGAGGTGATGAGGAGAAAAAGTCATACAATTGCCTAGTGGTATTGTGACGTTGTTGAAGATGACATTATTATTATTATACAGTATTTATAGAGCGCCAACAGTTTGCTCAGCGCTGTACATTATAATGGGAGACAGTACACAAGACAGTACAGTAACAATACAATACAATACATGAGGGGTTCGAGGGCCCTGCTCCTTGGAGCTTACAATCTAGGAGGGAGGGGATAGTGGTACATCATGAGGAAATAGCTGTGGGGGATGGAGTGGTGGGAAGAGCGGAGCAGATCAGCAATTAGGTGAGGGCTGCGTAGGCTTCTTTGAAGAGATGGGTTTTCAGGGTGCGCCTAAAGGTGAGTAGGGTAGGTGACAGTCTGATGGATTGGGGTAGTGAGTTCCAGAGGATGGGGGAAGCCCTGGAGAAGTCCTGGAGACGGGCATGGGGGAGGAGGAGACCAGGGAATTGGCAAGCAGGAGGTCTTGTGAGGAGCAGAGAGTGCGTTTTGGGTGGTAGATGAATATCAGGTCGGTGATGTAGTTTGGGGCAGTGTTATTAACAGCTATGAGTCTGGTTGAGGGAGACCGAGTCTGGTGATATAGGGAAAACGTCATACAATTGCCTAGTGGTGTTGTGGTGTTGTTAAAGCTTGACATTGGACTATAAGTCTGGTTGAGGGAGACCGAGCCTGGTGATATGGGGAAAATGTCATACAATTGCCTAGTGGTGTTGTGATGTTGTTGTAGCTTGACATTGGACTATGAGTCTGGTTGAAGTAGACCGAGTCTGGTGATATGGGGAAAATGTCATACAATTGCCTAGTGGTGTTGTGAAATGTTGTTGAAGCTTGACATTGAACTATGAGTCTGGTTGAGGGAGACCCAGTCTGGTGATATGGGGAAAATGTCATACAATTGCCTAGTGGTGTTGTGATGTTGTTGAAGCTTGACATTGAACTATGAGTCTGGTTGAAGTAGACCGAGTCTGGTGATATGGGGAAAATGTCATACAATTGCCTAGTGGTGTTGTGATGTTGTGTTGAAGCTTGACATTGAACTATGAGTCTGGTTGAGGAGACCCAGTCTGGTGATATGGGGGAAAATGTCATACAATTGCCTAGTGGTGTTGTGATGTTGTTGAAGCTTGACATTGAACTATGAGTCTGGTTGAGGAAGTAGACCCGAGTCTGGTGATATGGGGAAATGTCATACAATTGCCTAGTGGTGTTGTGAAGTTGTTGAAGCTTGACATTGAACTATGAGTCTGGTTGAGGGAGACCCAGTCTGGTGATATTGGGGAAATGTCATACAATTGCCTAGTGGTGTTGTGATGTTGTTGAAGCTTGACATTGAACTATGAGTCTGGTTGAGGGAGACCCAGTCTGGTGATATGGGGAAAATGTCATACAATTGCCTAGTGGTGTTGTGATGTTGTTGAAGCTTGACATTGAACTATGAGTCTGGTTGAGGGAGACCCAGTCTGGTGATATGGGGAAAATGTCATATAATTGCCTAGTGGTGTTGTGATGTTGATGAAGCTTGACTTTGAACTGTGAGTCTGGTTTTGTCATTTAGCTATGGTACACACTAGCACGACCTGCAGTTTTAAAATGAAGCATTCCTATACAACTTTGACGGATCAGTGGTTTATTTTTTATCCCTCACCACTCCTCCCTGGTCATCCTTTCTGTCTAAAAACTTCCTTTTGAGTGTAATGGAAACTCATGTTCCCTCTTGCGTTTTTTTGCGCGTTTTTCAAGTGTAAATGTGTGTTGCACATAGGGCATTCCATTCACTTGAACGGGCTGCCCTACACTTGACAAATGCCCAAACGTAGTTCTAGAACCTTTTCAGTCATGTAGTATCACGTTTTTTCAGTGTGCTTTTGCAGCGTGTTTTGTCACGCTGCATAAACGCACATCTGCTGACCATGATTGAGGTGTAATTGGCAATTAGACTGCATTTACATCTGCATGTTTCTGAATGTGCAGCAACCCTCACAGAAAATGCATGCACTTGCGCCACCATAATGGCAAGCGCAATGCACATTTCCAAAATGTGTGGCAAAACACGCATTTCCTGTGCAGCGCGTTCAGAAACGCACAGATCCGAATATAGCCTAAATGGTAATGCAACGTGTGTTTCGCGCATTTTCCAAACACACAGCAAAGCATGCGTTTTCTTGTGGGTTACTGTGCGTTTGTTAATGAGCGGATGCAAACTAATGGTAGCGCAAGCACAACACGTCATGCGCTTTCTTGTGAGTTGCTGTGCGTTTAGAAAAACGCAGATGTGAACGAATGGTAACACAAGCACAACGCGTGTTGCCACATGGTTTTGAAATGCACAACAAAGTGCACATTTTCTGTGTGGTTTGCTGTGTGTTCAGAAACCGTCAGATGAGAACGCAGCCTAAATGGTAAGGCCAGCGTGACGCACACTGCTGTGCATGTTGTGCCTGTTTTCGAAACGCACATCAAAGCATGCTTTTTTTGTGGGTTGCTGTGTGTTCTTAAATGCACAGATGCAAATAAATGGTAACACAAGTGCAATGCGCATTGCCTCTTGTTTTCAACATGCATGGCAAAGCATGTGTTTTGTTGCAGGTTGCTGTGTGTTTGTAAATGTGCGGATTCAAATGAATGGTAACACAAGGACAGCGCACGTTTCCGCATGGTTTTCGAAATGCACAACAAAGTGCACACTTTCTGTGCGGGTTGCTGTGTGTTCGGAAACCCACAGATGAGAATGCAGCCTAAAAGTGGTAAAGTAAGCATGATGCATGTCACGCATGCTGCGCCCATTTTCGAAACACACAGCAAAGCATGCATTTTCTTGTGGGTTATTATTATTATTATACAGGATTTATATAGCGCCAACAGTTTGTTCAGCACTTTACAATATAAAGGGATACAATACAGCAACAATACAGTTCAATACAAGAGGGAAAGGAGGGCCCTGCTCCTTGGAGCTTACAATCTAGGAGGGAGGGGCTAGTGGTACAAAAGGTAGTAACTGTGGGGGATGGACAGTAGAAGATTCCATTATTAGCTGAGGGCAGGATAGGCTTCCCTGAAAAGATAGGTTTTCAGAGATCGCCTAAAAGTGAGCAGAGTAGGCGATAGTCTGATAAATTGGGGTAGAGAATTCCAGAGGATGGGGGAGGCTCTGGAGAAGTCCTGGAGACTAGCATGGGAGGAGGAGACAAGGGAGCTAGAGAGCAGGAGGTCTTGCGAGGAGGAGAGCTTACAGTTTGGGTGATATTTGGAGACAAGATCGGTGATGTAATTTTGCTGTGTGTTTGTAAATGGACAGATACAAATGAATGGTAATGCAAGCGCAACATGCGCTGCTTCACGTTTTCGACCCGCACAGATAAGCATGCGCTTATTTCTTGTGGGTTGCCGTATGTCCGGAAACAGGCAGATGCAAGTTTTCGAAAAGCACGCCAAAGAGTGCTTTTTCTTGTGGGTTGCTGTGCACTTGAAAACGTGCAGATGCAAGTGAACAGTAACACAAGCACAATGCACAACAAAGTGCTCACTTTCTGTGCGGGTTGAAATGTGTTTGGATGTGTTCAGATGAGAAAGCAGCCTAAATGGTAACGCAAGCGTGATGCACACTGCAGCGCATTTTCGAAACGCACGGCTATACATGGTTCAGGTTCTCATACAGGCATAGGACTGATTGAAAAAAAAACCTGAAGCGATTCCTCCATCCAAACATTGGATGTGGCTGCAAGAACCTTCCCCGATGTGGCACTGTATTCTGACAGCGGAGAGAATCCCCCACCGTTGGAATACACTGATCAGTGCTGCAGCCAATTAGCTGCATGCGCTGATTGAAACAAAGTTTTCCTGCAGGACCTTTCATGGGAAGTCGATCAATAGAGATTGAATAGTTGTCTTCTTGTTTTTGGCCCAACCATGACTGGTTGTCTTTAACCACTTGCCCTCCAGAGAATTTACCCCCCCTTCCTGACCAGTCCATTGATTGCGATACGGCGCTGTGTTACTTTAACTGACAATTGCACGGTCATGCAACGCTGCACCCAAATTAAATTTACGTCCTTTTTTTCCCAGGAATAGAGCTTTCTTTTAATTGTATTTGATTTCTGTGCGTTTTAAATTTTTTTTGCTATAGACAAAAAAAGACCTACAATTTTGAGAAAGAAACTATATTTTTGACTTTTTGCTATTAAACATGTCCAGTAAAAAAATAAAAATAAATAAAATTTCGTCATAAATTTAGTTCAAAATGTATTGTTACATGTCTTTGCTAAAAAAAAATCCCAATATGTGTAAACTAATTGGTTTACGTGAAAGTTATACCGTTTAAAAATGGCGGTATATATACTGGGCTTCGTTTTTTTTTTTTTTTTTTTACATTTTTACTAGTAATGGCGGCGATCAGCGACTTATAGGACTGCAGCCGGCATTCTGACACTGGGGGGAACTGACTTGTTGTCACTGATATTCCCAGTGACACCAATACAGTGATCAGTGCTAATAAAAAGCACTGACACTGTACTAATTGCACTGGGCAGGAAGGGGTTAACATGTAGGGCAATCAAGGGGTTAACTGTGTGCTGTTTTACATCCTGTTCTGTGCTTGTGCTTCACTGAAAGCACACTGCTTTGCATGGCTGTTCTGTGCACAGCCATGCAAAGCAGTGTGTAGGAGCCAGGGGTGGACTGACCATTAGAGCACTCGGGCACTGCCTTAGGGCCCAGGGTCAGTAGGGGGCCCCATGAGATGCCCCTGGTACCTTTCAGAGGCTTTTTTGGGTGTGGTTTGAGTGTGGGTGAGGACACAGGGGCCCCATGATCCCCTATTGCCCGTGGGCCCCATGAGTTGTCAGTCCGCCCCTGGTAGGAGCTGACAGGGATGAGAATTGTTTTGTTTACTAATAGTTCTCCCCTGTCAGAGATCCTCGGCAATCACTGGGCGCTGGTGAGTAATCACCAGCCGGGACCCGGTGATTGGCAGCCGTAACTGCAAATGGTGGCGCAGGTAGGTCGCATGCGCGCCCCCTACCCGGAAATGCAAAATCATTTTATATATATATATGTGATTTTGCACACAGCTACCGCTGTGTAGCAGTATTTCTGCTATGGGACAGAGCTGAAGCAGTTGAAGGATTAGTTCACTTTTTGACCAAAAATAATAAATGCACTTTTTTTTTGCAGGTTAAAAAAAAAGTGCATTTATTTTTGGTTGCAGGAGCCTGTAAAGCATTACCCCAGCGATTAGGAGATCGCTGGTGCCATACAGGTCTCCTGCAGATCTGTCAGTATATCTGCTTGCCTATACATCCCTATACATATACGGACAGGAAGAATTAATGAACTACCATGGTGCTCCACAGCGCCGTAGCAGTTCATTCAGAACTACAAGCTGATGGCTGCTAAGGCTGTTGGGACTTGTAGTTCATTCATTCACAGAACCTGTGAATAAATGACGCAGCCATGTGGGCGGAGCCCCGCACGACCACGCTGTTTTAAAAAGTGACAGCTTGTACGGGGAACTTCGTCCCATACTGCTATCACAGGGTGGGGGGATCGGGCAGAGGCTGCAGCATTGGGAACATGTTACATGGTCCACCCTAAAAATGGGTGGAACATGTAACATGTTCCCAAAGGTGAACTTATCCTTTAACCTGTTCCCGCCAACCGTATGCATATATGCAGCAGCTTGGTGGGTGGGCTATAATGCCAAGCGGTCACATGTATGCATCCGTGGAGAATGGATTTATTTCAGGTACTTATATAGCGCTGTCAATTTATGCAGCACTTTACATATATATATTGTACATTCACATCAGTCTCTAACCCTCAAGGGGTGTACAATCTAAGGTCCCTAACTCACATTCATACATACACATACTAGGGACAATTTAGACAGGATCCAATTCACCTACCAGCATGTCTTTGGAGTGTGGGAGGAAACAGGAGTGCCCGGAGGAAACCCACGCAGACAAAGGGAGAACATGCAAACTCCAGGCAGGTGGTGCCATGGTTGGGATTCGAACCAACGACCCTAGTACTTACTGTAGGTGGAAATGCTAACCACCTACAGTAAGTACTTAGAATAATTAGAATGCTTCTGCCTCCTGGCATTTTGATTCTCTTAAAGAGTCATAGGGCGATAGTGGGAAGGGGTTAAGCAAGCTATTCCAGACCAGAGATTTTTTTTTTTTTTTTTACATTTAGTTTTGAAAAAAATGTAAAAAACACATTACATCACAGTAACAAAAAAAAAAATAGATTCACTTTCTCGATTTTTGTAAGTCTGTTCTGTCTTTGGTTGGTAATGGAGAATAACATTATTGGTTACTGGCAGGGACAGACTGACCATTTGGAAACTCGGGCACTGCTGGAGGGCCTGGGGTCAGTAGGGGGCCCCATGAGATGCCCCTGGTACCTTTTTCATAGGCTTTTTTGAGCTTAGGCAAGGACACAGGGGCCCCATGATCCCCCATTGCCCGGGGGCCCCATGAGATGTCAGTCTACCCCTGGTTACTGGTAAATTCCTTCCCCCGACAGTCTTGTCTCTGATGTACTGATTGCCCTCCTCCAATTGCAGCTCGGATTCAGCGATGTGAAGATAGAGGACACCACGAAGGGTCACATCGTCCACTTACAAGAGGCCAATACTCTCATCCAGTTCGAGGAAGACTCCACCTGCATCATCTGCGAGCATGACAAGCAACTTGGGGTTTGACTTGCGGACATGCAGAAATTTTAGACTGACCACTGTTCCAGATCCCGGAGAAGGTAGAATTATTGAACATTGGACTGCATTCTCAAAGTTGGCTTCCAGGGGGAGCTCTATCACTCATCTCTGAGTGGATTTCCATCTGCTGTCTATTTGATGAACAGACAATGGTATTCATAGTAAATGGTTCTTTAGGGGATCTTTAAACCTGTATAAATGTGCACAGATTTCTGTAATTACATGTATTTTTATCTCCAAATGTCTTTTTTTTTTTTTTAACCAATTCAATACCGGGCAATTTTACACCTTCCTGCCCAGGCCAGTTTTTCTCCGCTCCAGGCCGCTCTCACACTTTGAATGACAATTGCGCGGTCATACAACATTGTACCCAAAGTAAAATTTTATAATTTTCTTCACACAACTAGAGCTTTCTTTTGGTGGTATTTAATAATCGCTGGGGTTTTTATTTTTTGCTAAATTAACAAAAAAAGACCAAAAAGTTTTAAAAACAAAAACACACGTTTTTCTTTGTTTCTGTTATACAAGTTTGCAAATAAATAATTGTTCTTCATAAATTTAGGCCAAGATGTATTCTTCTACATGTCTTTGATGAAAATAACCCAAATTAGGATGTATTTTTAGTTTGTAGGAAAGCTATAGAGTTCACAAACTATGGGATATATCTGAATATTGATCAATCCTGAAGGTCCAAGAATGTCAGAACAGTACAGATATCCCCCAAATGACCCCTTTTTGCAGAGTAGACAGTCTGACGTACTTCATAAGAGGAATGGCGAGTTTTTTGAAGTTGTATTTTTTTTGTCATAATTTTTCGGAAAATGAAACAATTAAAAAAATTAGTTTAACTATTTTTTTTTTTTTACATATTGTCACCAGTGCAGTACAAGCGTCATCATATAACTGGCATGGCGGTGATCAGGCACACTGACTGGTGACAGTATGAAAAAAAAAAAAAATATATTTTTTTTTATTATTATTTTTTATTAAATTTATTTTCTTCTTTTTAAATTTTTTTTTTCATATTGCACTATGACCAAATAGTACAATGTTACCATAGTAACATTGTACTACTTTGGGGAAGTGATTTTTTTTTTTTTTTTTTTTTTTTTTTTACACAATTTGCTTATAGCAAAGAATTACTTTTAAGCTCCTAGATTGTAAGCAGAGCAGGGCCCTCGATCCCCTCATGTTTTGCATTGTATTGGTATTGTTCTGTCACATGTTCTGTCCCCCTTTGTAATGTACAGCGCTGAGCGAACTATTGGCGCTTTATAAATACTGAATAATAATAATAATAATAATAATAAGCAAGCATTACCATGAAATCGATTCATTCATGTTTTTTTTTTTTTTTTTTTTGTGCTTAGCTGTGATTTGGCCACAGCTAATCACATGACATGTGCATGTGATTAGCTGTGACCATTCACAGCTAGACACTAGTATACAATGGATGGCATGAATGAAGCCATCCATTGTATACAACTGTCATGTGACCTGCTGTGATTGGTCACAGCAGGTCACATGGTACCGGCAACAGGGGCCGATACTCAGATCTGTCATCGGCCGTGTCCGAGGTACACGGCCGGTGACAGATCGCGCCGCTGCGTGGCTCTCCAGGAGCGCAATCTGCGCATGTGCGCGAGGACGCCATATGGTGTCCACCCGGAACGCTGATGACATTTGCATGTGAATAGCTGTGACCATTCACAGCTAGGCACTAGTATATAATGGATGGCATAAATGAAGCCATCCACTGTATACAACTGTCGTGATTGATCACAGCAGGTCACATGGTACCGGCAACGGGGGCCGATACTCAGATCTGTCATCAGCCGTGTCCGAGATACACGGCCAGCGACAGATCGCGCTGCTGCGCGGCTCTCCAGGAGCGCAATCTGCGCATGTGCGGGAGGATGCCATATGGCGTCCACCCGGAACACTGATGACATTTGCCGGCTGCCATTCGGCCATAGGGCGGGCGGCAAATGGTTAAATATATTCTTTGGCAACCACTTCAATACAGGGTACTTTTACCCCCTGAAAAGAAATTAGCAGCTGACTAGAGCAGACCTGCTAAAAAGTGGTTTATTACAAATCCTATGCGGTGTAGTAATCATTAAAATTAGTGAATGCAAAATATTATTTATTTAGATCACATAGATCATAAAAAGGTTGACATTTAATCATGGGGAATAGTGTACAATCTGATCACCATGATTAAATGTCAACCTTTTTATGATCTATATAAATAATATTTTGCATTCACTAATTTAGTGATTACTACACCGCATAGGATTTGTAATAAACCACTTTCTGGCAGGTCTGCTCTAGTCAGCTGCTAATTTCTTTTCATATGCTATTTGGTTTAAAATCCACACCTTATACATGAAGTGAGACGGGGATTATATATGATCAGGTGATTGCACCTAACTATGATGGCAACCTTTTTTTTCTTATATTATACTTTTACCCCCTTCCTGCCCTGGGAAATTTTCAGCTTTCAGAGCTGTCACTTTGAATGACAATTGCATGGTCATACAACACTTTCCCCATGTAACATTTTTATCTTTATATTTTTTCTTGTAGACAGAAATGTGTTTCGGTGGTATTTAATCCCCACTGGGTTTTTTTTTTACATATTTTGCTAAACAAACAAACACAAATAGAAAAAAATGTTCTGTTATTACATTTTGCAAATTAATAATTGTTCTTCATAAATTTAGGTCAAAGTGTATTCTGTTACATTTCTTTTTTTCTAAAAAAAAAAAACCCAAATCAGTGTTTATTATTTATTCTGTAGGAAATTTATAGAGTCCACAAACTACAGTGTATATATATATTTGAAAATTGATCAGTCCTGATGTATTGGCAGCCGACCTCATTTCAAATGTCAAGACAGTACAGATACCCCCCAAATGACCCCTTTTTTTGGATAGTAGACAGTCTGAACTATGTAGTAAGAGACATGGTGAGTTTTTTGAAGTTGTAATTTTTTTGTCTTTTTTTTTTTGTAAAAGGAAGAAATGAAAAAATTCCCAATTTTTTTTTTTTTTTTTTACATATTGTCACCAGTGTAGCATAGCGTTATCATATAATTGGTATGGCGGTGATCAGCGACACTGGTGACAGTACGAAAGAAAAAAAAAATGTACATTTTTTTTAACACACTGTGATCAGAGTAATATAATGTTACCATGGTAACATTGTACAACTCTGGGGAAGTAATTGATTATAGCAGTGAATTTCATTGCTAAAAGCAAGCATTTTTTAGAAATAGATTCATTCAATATGTATTGTGATTGGCAACAGCTAATCACATGGTACAGATGGGTTGTGATTGGCCACATCTGTACTATGTGATCACTGTGACCAATCACCGCTAGCAACACAATTGTACACAATGAATGGCATGAATCAAATTAATTCTTTGTTTACAGTTGTCATGTGATCTGCTGTGATTGGTCACAGCAATCACATGGTACCGGCAATGGGCAGGAACAGTGATCTGTCATCGGCTGTGTCCAGTGGACACAGCCAGTGACAGATCGCGCCCAAAAGCGCAGCTGTGTTCTGAGAGGACTTCATATGACGTCCACCTGTAAATTCGAAAGTCGCGCCCAGCTTTAAATTTGCAGTAGGCTGGGCAGGAAATTGTTAAAGGATAGGATCACCTATAGTAAAATGGTACTCTATATTTAGGGTATAACATGTAACCTGTTACTGCTGCAACATCCCTTCTCACTCCCACATCCCCCACCATAAAAGTGAGCAGGGGTTCTTCTCCCCAAATCTGCAGTTACATTTTGAAAATGACGTGCAAGCTACATCATTCATTCATTCATAGCAGTCTGTGAAGGAATGAACTACAAGTCCCATCCACCACCATGACAAACGGACGTGCAGTATTAATGAACTGCCAGCAAACTCGACTTGTACTTCATTCTCACTACCTACAGCTCAGGAACTGTTTGCCTGTATGGATAACTGTAGGAAATACGTGCAGGAGCCTGACATTGCACCCACGATCCACTCCTATTTATTTATTATTAAAAAAAAAAAAAAACTAAATACTAATAAATGCATTTTTTCCCAGAAAATGATGTGCATTCATTTTTTGGGAGGGGAAAGGTAAACTTTAAAACTGAAATCTGTAAAAAATATCCAAAATCTACCCTTGCAGTAGCCCCTCCCCTGCAAAGGTTAACCGCATGCAGCCCAGCCACTGTACATGTACGGCGGCAGGGCAGCACTGGTAGGCAAAACGACGTTTTAAAACGGACCCCGCAAAACAGGTAGGGGGCGCGCGTGAGGCGCGCGCCCACCCTCCCTGTCCCGCGGGTGTCCGCAGCGGGTGTCCGCCGCGGGTGTCCACGGGTCACGGCCGGTTTTTACCGGCCGTTTTCCCGCGATGAGCTGTCATCACTGTCACAGAGCAGAGCTGCATTGTTTACACACAGCCTGCTTTGTGACAGTTCCCCGGCAAGCTGAAGAGGGAGAGAAATTCTTCTCTCCCTCGATCAGCTCCCCCCTCTCTCCCCCCATCCAGCACACACCCCCGCCCCCTAGTAAAACACTCCCCTTACACAGTAAACTCCTAACAATGTTAACCCCTTCCCTCCCCTGGAATGCTTGGCCTTGGTACAGACACACAAGGTGACACACAGGTTAAAATGGCAATTAATGGTTAATTTCCCACAGCTGTGTTTTTTTCAATTGCAATTAATGTCTGAGTTGCCAGTAAGAAGCCTTTACTGAGCCAAT